GGCATTCAGGCTTTCCGCGACGATTTCTATCTTAGCAGGCGTAAAGGTGCTGCCGCTCCGCCGTTTTATGTCTCCTAGTGTGAGCAATAAATTTGCCTTCTACCCTGCAATTCAACAACACGCAGGAAGGGGTACTATTTCTGTCATCTGCTGGGAAACGCCTGTTTTATGTTTCCTTTTATGAGTTAAAAACGCAGACCCCTTATTTTAGGTGCAATGAACGTTTTTGCGGCATTATGCGCAATTTCACAGGAATTGGCTGGCAGTAAATGTGAATTTCGCGATTAAATCTCAGATGCTCGTATTTTATTCGCCGGACTGTCCGGCACATGTTGGAAAAATCGTCTGTAATATCAGAAAGAGCAGACTGGTTCGATCCCCAACCGAGGAGGACAGCTAAAAGTTGTCTTTTGTGTTCCGTCACCGAGTGGAAGTCTGGTCCCATTCTCGATTAGCCGTCAAGGAGACCTCAAAGTCAAAACAGATGAGGAGGCCCTGTCGGCCAGTTATGTCGCGTCGCTGCGCGCTCATGTGCGTGGATTGAACTACAGATGCGGTGGGTCAAAACGGGGATCAGACTGACTCACGGCACGCGTTTATACGGCTGCGCAGGCTCATATTTACTGTCGAATGCACGTATGGTAGTACGCCCTAGACTTAGAGTAGGTAGGCTAACTCATTACATGTCAACCGAATTTCTGAAATACGTTTTCGTCTCGAAGAGATTGATTAGGTAGCGTTGTAAAACTAGTCAGCCTGCAACATAATTCTATGATATTATAGTTACCACAGGATGCCGACTTTCGAAAAAACTACCTTCCGGCTGCATACGAAAACTATACTCTGTACGAAATGATGACTTACGAAGCATGAATTTTTCTCAGCGAGTTTCGATTCCCCCAAAAGTACAACTATATTTCATGGAGAACATGCATAAAAATATTCATTCTTTTGTTTATTCAATAGACAATTACGTCTTCTTTCAAGATTGTACTCGAACAAAGGGTATAATTCGGCTTTCGAAAAGTTTTCCAATTCCCGAATAATTTTGGACCTGCTCAACCGTCACACTTGGATTCAGGGTTTCAAAACTACAAGCCCTGCAAGGCGATTATATTTATGAATACGGTAATGTGCCCTGAGGATGAAATATACAGTGCCGGCCTCCCTCCTTCACTCACCCCCTCTGCTCGGCTGTCTGAACCTGTCCCTCGACTGGCGACGAAGTTGGGGACAGTGTCTGACGCCGCATGGGGGCATGTCAACCGAATTTCCGAAATACGTTTTCGTCTCGAAAAGACTAATTAAGTAGCGTTGTAAAACTAGTCAGCCTGCGACATAACTCTATAATATTTTAGTTACCACACGATGCCGGCTTTCGAAAAAACTTCCTTTCGGTTGCATAAAAAACTACAATCTATAAAAAATGACTACTTAAGTGGCATGAATTTTTCTCATTGATTTTCAAAGCCTCCAAAAGTCCAATTATATTTCATGGAAAGCATGCATAAAAATATTCATTCTTTCGTTCATTCGGTAGAAAATTATGTCTTGTTCTAATTTTGTACTCTAAGCAGGGACATGATTCAACTTTTAAAAAGTGTCTAATTCCCGAATTATTTTGAATTTGATATACCATTAAAGTTGCATTCAGGGTTCGCAATCCACAAGCCGTATATTTTCCGCGTACGGAAAACCACACATTTCTGTACGGTATTGAGGAGAGAGCATATGGGGCTTATAGCATTTTGCATTGGATTTGATTCATACTACTAACATTACAAGCCGCATTGGTAAACGCAGAGACATGACGATTTATGAACCACCATTTCTCGGTAGTTGAAATTCCCACAATTAGCAACTTTTTAAAAGTCGAATCATGTCCCTGCTTAGAGTACAAAATTAGAACAAGACGTAATTTTCTACCGAATGAACGAAAGAATGAATATTTTTATGCATGCTTTCCATGAAATATAATTGGACTTTTGGAGGCTTTGAAAATCAATGAGAAAAATTCATGCCACTTAAGTAGTCATTTTTTATAGATTGTAGTTTTTNCAATAACCTGGCCATTTAACCGAGAAGCGGATGGAGTTGAAGAAAGTGCGGCATATGGTCTACGGCAGAGAATTCACAGCGCAGCGTACTAATAATTATCTAGCCTGCGCTATGGAATTAGACTGTTCAACTTGGTTTTTTTACGAGAAGGTAAAAATAAAGGGCCACGGAGTGATGGTGCGTTTTGCGTTGGTACCGACTAATGCAACGAAGTCATGCACAACTATTATGAAAATTCCTTGTTTATCAGCCGCCATCAGAGGGGATGTGTCGATTCGTGTTGTGTGGTTTGCTCGAGATTGCTTACGAGAACCTGCAGCTCAAATTGCCTTGTTGCTTGTCCTTTCTGGGATGGCGATGGAGCCAGCTGGGTAAGGGCGACAGACCCGCCGACAGCTTGGTGTTGGATCGGTTCTTCTCGTTCAGACCAATGACCACCGATTAGGATAATTCACGTACAAGGTCTATTTGTACTGATTGGCCCAACTTCGGCTGAAAAGACAATGAAATATGAACACACGTCAGTTAATCAGAGACTGTACTAAGAGTCCGCCAACGGTCTGTGCTGCAGATGCGGACCAGACGGACGTCAGTTCAGTCGTGTAACGTGGGTCCATAAATACTGTCGTTCATAGGTGTAGTGGGACGCGCTTAAAGCTATCACGGTGCGCTAAAAGCCGTGGCTCGGAAGGTTGCCAATTGACAGGATAACTTCGACCCCGCAGTTTGCCCAATGTGTGTTTGTGTGGAGCGGCCGGCTGGTGGTCAGGCTGCAATGGCGCCTTCTTAATATGGCTTTTGTGGCAATCCCACTCTCGCTACGTTCTGATTGGCTCTTCCAATAGCTAGGTGCATGTTGCATGAGACACGCCGTGTGTGGCACACGTGGGTAGGTCATCTAGTCATGTCGACCAATGCGTCAGAGCTCCCATCCGATCGTCTTGATACCAATTTGACCAAAATTTGAAGACCTCGGCAGCCATGGTGGGATCCGCCCTCAGGACAGCAGGGGCCAGAGCTGAGTACGCCCAACCATCTAACCGCCTTGGCTATGAGGGCAAACACACTAATTAATTAAGTGAGTCAGGCAGTCGTCTGGTGGATTCTAGATGTATTGCTTGAGAAATCCTACTAGGGCAGTCAGCTTTCTGGGGAAAGTGGCGGATTCCATACGTCGTCGTAGGCTGAGCGCGTAACTGACGCCAAGTGTAATTAAACTCACGGCTCCCGGCAAGAACCCGTAGCTCGTTGGCTGCGCTCAGGCCTTTCCCTTGCTTTCGTGCGTTCGAATCCCGCCGAGGCCACCGAGGTTGTCGTCGGAGCCTGGCTTATGGGAGAGAGTGCGGTAGATGCAGCGCAAGTCCGCCTCACTATAAGCAAGCTCACGCACAAGTCGCCGGCTCTGCGCTCAGTCCGCTAAGTACGCAACGGACGCCTTTACTTGCGACAGTCCAGGTAGTAAGCCCTCGTTCCTCTAGAGGGTGTTTTTTAGAAGTCGGAATGCTCAACTTAAAGTTTGTGGGCTTCGCTCGCATCGCTACCTAATTTTATTCAGTAGGCTGTTACGCATACTTACTAGTCCTTACGGGTTCAGTCCTCGAAGCTCTTGGATAACACCGACAGACGTCACCTTGCCTTCTGATCAGCGATACTTCGGCCAGATAGGGTTGGGAGCTTGCGGACGGTGATGATGATGGACGCCACTCGAGCATGTCGATTAAATTCGGACGTCTCCGGCGACAGCTAGATGGCCGACTAAGGACTGTGAAAAAGTAGCGTCCTGATGATGCCCGCGGAGGGTGAGAACGCGAAACCAGCTACGCGGGGAGGCAGACTGCCACGCTCGACCGCAAAACCACTCCTAGCTTATGCACGATATTTAAGATCTGCCAATAGAAGCGAAGAGCCGAGTCCCAGGAAGTAGTCTTGAAGAAGGAGACACGATCGCCGGGACAAGAGCTTTATTAGCTTGACGTTTCGGATTCCTACTCGAATCCATCATCAGAGACAAAAGAGCAGAAACGGGTGGTTGTTGCACAAGGGGCTGCGGTATTTATAGGATGCAGTAGCCATGCTACCGCATACCTATGAACGTTCACGGCTTCCCCCTTCATCCGGGATTGTCACACTTGGTGTGATCATTGGTTGATGGCCGACATTCGAGTCGATAATTGCTGCAATTTCATCACGTGCGTTGGATGTTGGCGCGATGATTGCTCGACCATCTGACGCGTTGACCCGGGTGTTGGGAAGAGTGTTCACCAGTGCGCTCCCCGCGTGGCCAATTACTCCGCCTAGACGAAGTCTCAGCACGCTGTATTGAAAGGGAAGATCGTTGCACTTGTTGATGGACTGGGGGCCAGTAAACCATGATTCCAGTAGCTCCCGGCTCACTCGGCTGTCACCTCTTGCGAGATCTGCATTAACAAACGTAGAGTGCGTGACGTGACCCCGGAAGTAGTCACAGTTGATGGATTGACAGTTATGCCAGAAGTGGAGCAAGAGCCATTCTGGTCCTATCAAGAGCCCAGCCCTCATACGCGACTCCACAAACCAGCGCTGAGATTAGCGGCATCCCAGTGACAGATTCGACGGACAGCCGGGATCAGATGAGGGTATTTGGACTGTCACTGGCAGGCACCAGGCTGTTCGCGGACGGACATCCTTGTCCAGGTTATTCATACTTACTAGTCGGTAATCGTTCAAAACTGGCATGAGTTACATAAATGCATCCACGCCCGGACCATAATTGCTGCTCTAAGTAGCCTACCGCACCCAATAAATAGGCGCCAATAAATAATTTTCAGAGTTGCATTTACATACAACGACAAGCCTCTCCCGGTAAACACTTTTAACTGCCTCTTTTTTCCCTACAAGTCAGCTAGCGCACCGCCCATACACCAAGAGTAAGGTCCTTACAAGGAAGACTTTACAGGTTTTTTTTATTGAGAACAGGAGATTGGAAGTACGTCGGAGTAATTTATCAGTCCTTCAGAAAAAAGCTGCCGGGCAGAGGCAGCAATCGACAACTGCGAATACAAGGCGCTTTCGTCTTCAAGACGCTGAACTGTGTAGCCGCGTAGGAGGAAACCGCCACAGCCTGAAGTCATCTTCATTTCGGGATGTGTGCGATTTGGCAGGACCTGTATAGGTCTTAGCCAGTTATCGAACAGGGTTAGTTGGACGCAGCTCCCACGACGCTTCAGAATATTGTACAAATCCACGAGCGGCTAGATAACCAATGTAAAATAAGCCTGATGTATCGCCTACTTAAATGAATTCAGTAACTATAACGCGTTTAGTTAATAACACACACAGTTGACTTACCGCAAGGAGATGCGAGTGCACGACAAACGGACGACCGGGCGGCAGGAATTGCAGCAGCAGCAGGGTAATATCGACGGGGTAAAACCGTACGGCCACTATGAGGCAGTCCGGGCGGTCAGAGAGGTCAGGAGAAGCCTCTGCTTCCGTCGGGCAGAGAATCTTACGAGCTTCTTCAAGTTCAGCCAGACGGTTCCTCAAGGCGGTAGCTTTGACGGCGGCTAGTTCCGCTGGCGTCAAATTCATCCGTGCAAACCGGCCCTTGCGACGAGGGACGAAGGGCACTGTCTGGTGACTTGAATTCGCGTCTGCTACAGGGCGGAAAACACTGGAAGTTAAAGCGGCCAAGAATCTGGGGCGCATGGACACTGCAAGGTAGACTCCATTGGCAGAGACGACGATCACAGTGCCTTGCAATTCCAGCACTGATGACGAAAAAATATAGCATGATACCAACCGTCAAGTATGAATACAGGAGATGGTCTACCTGATGATATGTTAACTAAAACTCTGAAATGCCTTTTCGACTAGGAAGGATTACTTAGGTTGTACTAATGATTATCGAGCAAAATAATCGCGAGATATTTCCGTCGCTCGTTGCCGACATTTGGGTGAGTTTTTTTCTGACTGCCTGAAAAAGCTGCGTCCCGTAAAAGATGACTTCTTAAATGGCATGACTTCCGATGTCCTCATAAAATACAACATATTTCGTGGAAAACGCGCACAAAAATATTCTCGCTTGTACTCATTTTGATGATGATGATGATGATGATGATGATGATGATGATGATGATGATGATGATGATGATGATGATGATGATGATGATGATGATGATGATGATGAAAGGACGGAAGCAGAGGGACATTTGGGGCGGAAAGCACACGAACTTGGTGGGTCCATGTCCAACTTCAAAACCGGACAAATTCGAGAATGCTAACCATATCTTCACTGGGAGAAACGCCTTGCAAACTGAGACTTATTTCCAGCAAAAATTTGACGTGTAAATGGGTAGCAGACAATACTGCAAAAATCTAACCTGGTGTAGATTGGGATTCCAACGTACACTGGCTGTCCTCAATTCGTGGCATCTAAAAAGTACAATGTACATGAGAATCAAAAATAATCCGAAGTTTCAGAAACTTGCAAACTCATTGCAATCCAAGTTGAGAAGTTGTCAGTCGCAAGCCGAATGAATCGCATGTAACCTTAAATGGTATCGTGGCATCCACAAAGTCAGTGGAAAGTACACCAATTGAACTACTATGTAGACCGAAACAGACCAAAGGTAAAAGACACGGAGCTCGATTTATGCCTAAGTGGGCGGTTTAGCAGAAACGCTAAGGAGCTGGGAATTTGTCAACTCCCTAGCGGCAACGGCTCTAGGAACGAGGGCGACAAGCCGGTTTAACCGATTTCAGCATGGAGTTATGCCAGTACTCCATCACCCTCCACCCCCACCCCATTACTCATTCGGTGCGCATTCCAAAAAACTTGAGACGATGTTGTGTCGAGCTACTGTAACCCGTTTTGTGAAAGAGACACGATCGCTGGGACAAGAGCTTTATTCACCTGACGTTTCGGATTCCTACTCGAACCCGAAACGTCAGGCGAATAAAGCTCTTGTCCCAGCGATCGTGTCTCCTTCTTCACAACTGCTTCCTGGGACTCGTCTCTTCGCTTCTATTGCCAATGTATTTGGGCGCGATGCACTCCGATCGGCCCGGAGATGTGAAACCTTCGTCCTTCGAGAAGCCTCCACGTATTCGCAGATCCGGTTCCTGCACAGGTGTTTCGACAATAATGTGTTACCGAAGTGAGCTCCATATAAGCCGCCGGTGAACACGGATTTGGCGAGACGAGCAGTATTTCAGCATGGCAGAAGGATGATTCGAGTGCTTCTCCAAGATTGTCACGCGAGACTACCCAAGTACCGTCAAAGGATCGACCAAGAAAAGACCAGATGCTGTGAGTTCATGAGCGAGATCGGTACAAATCTGCTTCTGCAGATGGTGGCTGAACGAGCCCGCGAACAGCGATACACGACGCAGTACTGTAGAACAAATTCCGAAAGCTGCCCAAACCAACGTCGTTCAGAAACGACAAGCTGATACACAACCTGTCGTCAAAGAAGCTGACGACGGACCAGATGTAGGTGTAACGGCACGAAGCTTCATTCAACACGGCTGACGCCAAACCTGTTAACATGATTGCAGCGGTGGAATCAGTCCTTAGTCAGACGGAAGCAACACTGGAGACTAAGAGCCTCAACCGACACCAAGCATCGTCTCTCCTAATGGTTGAACGTGATGCGCTTAGAGAACTCAAGGCCGACAAAGACCTGGTCATCCTGCCAGCGGTAGGTGAAACGGTCTGAAAGTGCGTGTGCAATGCCAGTATCAGCAAACCATGACCCTCGCAGCCTGGTAGGCGCCGGCAGTCCTCTGGCACCTGGTTCTCTGCTGGTAGATGTGCTTGCGCTCTCGCTTGGTATACAGGTGGTGGGCATGGCAGCCCAGTCAGCCTCGTCCTTCTGACCACTGTTGAGGTGCTGTTGTTGTTGTTATTGGTGAAAAATCCCGATCAAGTGTATGTTGTGGACCAGGGATGTCGTGGCACGTCTAGATGCGAGTCCGGCCGTGCCAGCCACCTGCGCCCTCTCCCGCCTCCGATCTTCTTGACTCTGTCTTGACATAGGGCTCAGGTGGGGAGAGAGTGAAGTAGATGCTGCACAAGTCCACCTTGCTGTGGAGCACACAGTGGACAGCCGGGCACGACGGTCGAACTGTCAATGAGCGGCTGTGATTGCGAGATCGAAGGAGCACTCGTGACATGTTCGTGCATATGGCGGATTCAAATGTTCAACGTGAAAGGTCTCGAAGGAAAATTGCCCAATACTTTTAAGGGATATCAAGTTGTAGTGTCTTTTTTTACTGTTGGATACTAGAAGCGATAGTTCAACCGACCGTATCTGCCGCTATGAGATGATCGCGGTCGTGCCTGCTGCGCCTTGCTGTGTAGCACACGATCAGAATCAACGAACTGTGTACGGTATGGATCCGTCGGTTCTTTGTCGTCGCAAAAGGCAATTCAGTCTGGCAAGAGGAAGAGAATAACTTCATAATGGAGGCATTTATGGGGGGGGATCGGGCGGCGATTAGGGCGTCAGGCCTTCATCGCTGAGTTTGGTCTACTCGAGAGGGTTGTCGCAGCGTACCATTCACACTTCTTTGGCATCTGCATCTGATGTGTGCAGGCAACTGAAAACGCTCATGCACGGCGGTTCCCCAGCCTATCGCGTTGCTTCGTCTTTGTTGGAGTTGGTTGGGGGACGGATTCTTGGCCACTGCTGGGGACGAGGCGCCCCAGTCCCGATGGAATAGGGGTTCGATTTGGTCCGGCAATCGCATACCTTAACATGTTCAAGGATTCCCAGTTTCCCCTTTGCTGCCTCAGATAGAGCTGGAACGCGAGCTGTGGGGGGATCTGTGAGTGATTTTACGGTGGCGATGTAGGCGATGATAAGCTGCGTAATCGTAATCAGGCGCCCGAGTAATCAGTCGGGTGCCTTCACTTCTTTCTACAAGCGGGTGTCGGGACTTTAACGGATGCCCTCGACAATCATCGGAGTGAAAAAATTTAGATCTCCGATTTTCCACTTAATCGCTGTATTTGTCTACCGTACTCCGAATGTCGCACTGTTTTAAATCTGTTTGCTTAGTTGCTTTCTTGAAGGCTGCTCTTGGAGAGCTAGGAATTGACACAGAGAATAAAACGAGGAATGCGCTTTTGTGTCGTCTCCCACATGACGTCTCACTCTAGCCACTCTAGCCGCGTGGGAACCGAAACGAGATGCACACTTCCCACTTGCGTGGAAGGTGGCAGTTGGTGCATGCGGTGGGTAAGTGTTGATGTGTGTTGGTGATGGTGGAGGAGGGTAGGGAGTGTGTGGATGTGTGGTGTAACCGGCGGTTGTCTACCGCAGGTCGTCGTGGATGCGCATGTGGCCGAATAGGCCCATGCGGTGCCTGAAAGTGCGAGGACAGTGCGGACAGTTGAGACGAGCTTGGTGGGTGTAGGTTGGTGCTCCAGGCACTGGTTCTCCGGCCTCTGTGCGATGGATTCGCAAGTGACCGACCAGGCCGATGCGTGAGGTGAGTGTGCGTGGACAGTGTGGGCACGTGAAGTCGGCGGTGTCAGAATCAGCTACAGAGGAGGCGTTGGTGGTGGCGCAGATGGACGGTGCGAG